AAAACGACCATGTATAGTAAGGCGTTTTTATCCGAAAAAACGACCATGTACAGTGAGGCGTTTTTCGACGAAAAAACCGGCCAGGTATAGTAAGGCATTTTTAGCCGAAAAAAATGACCATGTATAGTAAGGCGTTTTTAGCCGAAAAAAACGGCCATGTATAGTAAGGCGTTTTCAGCGAAAAAAAAAAAACGACCATGTATAGTCAGGCATTTTTAGCCGAAAAAACCGACCATGTATAGTCAGGCGTTTTTAGACGAAAAAAACGACCATGTCTCGTAAGACTTTTTAACCCGAAAATAACGACCATGTATAGTAAGGCGTTTTGAGCCGAAAATAATGACCATGTATAGTAAGGCGTTTTTAGCCGAAAAAAACGACCATGTCTCGGAAGGCGTTTTTAGCCGAAAAAAATGACCATGTATCGTAAAGCGTTTTGATCCGAAAATAACGACCATGTATAGTAAGGCGTTTTTAGCCGAAAAAAAACGACCATGTATAGTAAGGCGTTTTAACCCGAAAAAACCGACCATGTATAGTAAGGCATTTTTAGACGAAAAAAACCGACCATGTATTGTAAGGCGTTTTTAGACGAAAAAAAACGACCATGTATAGGAAGGCGTTTTTAGCCGAAAAAAATGACCATGTATAGTAAGGCGTTTTTAGCCGAAAAAAAAAACGATCATGTTTTGTAAAGCATTTTAACCCGAAAAAAACGACCATGTGTAGTCAGGCGTTTTAACCCGAAAAAAACAACCATGTCTCGTAAGACGTTTTAACCCGAAAATAACGACCATGTATAGTAAGGCATTTTTAGCCGAAAAATCTGACCATGTATAGTAAGGCGTTTTTAACCGAAAAAAAAACGACTATGTATCGTAAGCTTTTTGAGCCGAAAATAACGACCATGTATAGTAAGGTGTTTTTAGCCGAAAAAAACGACCATGTATAGTAAGGCGTTTTTCGCCGAAAAAAATGACCATGTATAGTGAGGCGTTTTAAGACGAAAAAGTAAAACTCGCAAGAGGCTCGCGACCGTTGTCGATGGTGTTGACAAGATCTTTACAAAACCTAAGAGCGCCGTCTACTGGTGACCAATAGGAATGACAAACCTTAGACTGAAGTGGCTCTCAACTTTACAAGTACAGTCCCAATGAAAAAATACAACTCTCTGGATAGAGAGATAGAGAGGGAGAGACAGAGAGAGAGAGAGAGAGAGAGAGAGAGAGAGAGAGAGAGAGAGAGAGAGAGAGAGAGAAGAAAAAAGAGAGAGGACAGAGCTGGCGCTCGAGGGAGAGTGCCGGCTCTCATCGTTCACTTCAAAGAGCCGGCTCTTTGTACCGGCTCCTTTCTTGACCGACACATCGCTAGTGCAGACGACCTTTTTTTCTCCTTTCAATAAAGCTGCGTTCAAACGGAATCCATTAAAAACAACGAACCCCTTAACTTCCATAAATATAATTTGCAGCTTCTTTCATCAAAAGTCCACTGGTATGGCCCCCAAAGAGAAGAGCTGTAAACATTGAAAGGCTAGCACATAATAAAAGCCCGTTCAAGAAAAGCCAAACAAAGAAAAAAAGCATATTCAGTAACTCTATTTATTTATTTTGTACCTTACGTCAATATAACTTTTGTCATGTGACTTGTACCAAATGATTCAAGGACAAACGGCGAATCATCAAAACAAAGTAACAGCATAATTCTTTGTACAAACTTACAACAAATGAGAGCAAGTGTGTGTCGTATAAGCTCGTAAAACGTTGGACTTGAAGCTGTGTAAATTTATTCTCCTGAGATTTGTCCTTGTGGGAGGAGTTGCCACCAGGCTTTTTCGCCGAATTGCTACGACAAAGACATTGCTCAAGTGCCAAAGTGGATTCAGAAAACGTCATTATCATCTTCTTAGTCCGTTTTCCACCCAAGCGGTACAGTTTGGTGCTAAAGAAAGGCTACCTGGGCACTTCTAATTGTATGACACTTTCGAAGGATTTAAGTGGTTCTCTGATCGATCCGTCACCTATCGTGATCGGCAGACGTGGATCAATGCTTTTCATTTCCGATCACACCCATATACATATGTACATGCACATATTGGGTGTCCCATAAGTCTCTAGACAAAGGGAAAAAAAAAACGTTTCTTGACATAAACCATACGACTGCTGACTGAACCGGCCATCAAGATGATTTCATTTGGTTGCTCGTTATTCAAATGCATTCTCTGGGCTATCTGAAATCGAAATAAATAAATGTTAGACCCATGTGTGGAGACTTATGAAACACCCTGTGTGTGTGTAAATTCCATCCCATAACTGATTGGCATTGTGTGCTATTTTTTTTCTCACCCGACTGTTGGGACACACATCACAGCAGTACGGGACTGAAAGGGTGTCTTGTTTAGTCTTTTTGTAATAATCCAGTGTCAGGATCTCTGTGTATGAGGTTTAAATTTGGGTAAGTGAGCACCACCAGTGCGCAAAGTCTGACACCCATTGAAAGCAACTGAAGGAATAACGGAGACATTGGTGTTGCTGTGCATCTACGCGCAATTATTTATATGCTTGCAAGCCGTTACGGAGTCGTGTTTGAAAGAGGGAAACTTTTGTTTGCAGCCTCAAACTGTAGTGAACTGAAGTGTACCGCTTGGTCGAAACAACATTTTTCTGTCTGTGTTTTCCTGAGGTCCTTGTTCAAAGTAACTTTGGTGATGTGGAAACAGTTTGATACCTGAACGCTTTGTGTTATAATATTGCTTTGTCGGAAAAAAAAAAAAAGGAAACTCACACATCTGGTAACTCTTCTTTTTTTCTTGAAATCTACACCATTAAATCTGTTTCATGATTGGTTTTATTACACGTAACCCGCCTCCTCCTCCTCGCTGTTTTAAATGCATATACAAAGAAGTAGAAAGGAAAGCTGCTTCAGAGCAAAGTGTACATTATTTTTAATCTCTCGTCTTATAATAATGTTCATCCTGCTGCAGGAGATGGGTCATCAGCTTGATTTTTTTTTTTTTATTTTTAGTTTCCATCTGTCAGGCGATCTGTTGGTCCATAGCGAGCCCCACATAATCTGTCAATGATGATGATGATGATGATGATGAAACATATGCTGTCCTGGAGTGACGGGAAAAAAAAAAGTTCAGCCACATTCCTCCTCCTAATTTCCATTGGTCTCAGGCGCTGAAGCCGGCGTGGAAGGCGTGGATGAGCGAGAGGCCACTGGAACCTTATCCCCGCTGGGACTGGATGCCGAGGCCACAACATCGGAAGTTGTGAGCCCCACGGGGGACACCCCGGCAGCAGTGGCGGCCGCCACTCTGGCGGCGGAGATGGCCGACACGGGTTTCGGCTGAGCTTGAAGTCCAGGGCTGCAGATGAGGTGGTGCCGCTCCCAGTCCTTGTGTTGGCAGAAGGAGCCGCAGTAGCGTGCCGCGTTGCAGCCGCTGCATGTCTCGCTGGCTTTGCGGCCGCAGTTCCAACAACACTGTGAGAAAAGACAAGGACAGCGCGTTAGTGAAGTCGGGACTGCGCTTCATTTTTCACAGATTTTGATCAACCTGCTTGTATTCTACAAAGGAAGAGCTGAACCTCCTCCTGGCTGACTTTGGTCAAGAAAAGCGGGTCCACTCTGGACTGATGGTCAATCAAACTCAGGGCACAAAGTTCAAATAACCATTTAAACCCAAGCACATATATAAGTAAATAAATATAATGTATTTTCTATCGCACTTTTTTTCTATAGCATTTTCTACAGCTCTTGTCCTAATTAGGGGAAACTGAATCCTATCAAGGATGATTTTTGATGAGAGAAGCGTGATACACCGAGGAAAGTTCAGCGCTTAAGAAATGCAGTCCACATGTAAACATGTCATTGTTTCATGAAACATGGAAACTGATAAAGCCACACATTTGTTTGCATTATTGTTTATGTTTACGCCACCCTTGTTATAATTTTATGAAGTTGTCGTAGCGCATGCTTCAAAAGACTGCGGGTCAAAAGTCTTTCGTAAGTTACCAACTCAAACTGAACTAGATAAATAAAAATGTTCGACAAATTCACGTGAAATCTTTGCTTAATTTGCCTTTATTTGAACAAGAACTATTAAGACATTTGTGTAGTATTAATCTGATATTGTTTATTGCACTAAAGATTGATGAATAGCTCTTTTTTAAAAAAAATTATACATGGGAAGAGGACCTAGAAAAAAAGAATCGCATATTAAATCATAGTATTGAGACAAAAAAAAATTGCAAATCTGTTTTTCCCGCAGAATGTTGTTCCCTACGATGGATAAATCCAAACAAATGGTAAGAAACCAGGCAGAGTCTGCAGAATAAAAATAGTCTGTATAAAACGGGAGGTCAGAACAATTTGAGGGCGATTGGGCTGACCTCGCTGGAATCCTCTTGCTCATTGATAACCATGATGGCGTCCTCCTGGGCCTTCCTCTTGGCATCGGCCAGCGTCTTCTCCATCTTGGCCCGTTCGGCCGCGATCATCTCGAAAGCTTTTTGCTCGGCCTCGGCCACCGCCTTCTGCACCTCGTCCATGGCCTGCCTCTTCACCTCGTTCACCGCCTCCTCTGAGCATGGAAAGAGAGATGCTGTTCGGTCGGTTCACACGCAGGACGACGCCAGGCGAGCGGCTCCTTCGCCGACTTCTCACCTGCTTTCCTCCAGATCTCGTCTGTGACGTACGCCGAGCCGGCTCGCGGGGCGAAGTCACGCTGAGACTCTGCAGAGAGAGCACAGTTACGGCCTGAGTAGTGTATTCCATTCGCAGCCGCTTACGTTTAGACTGCTTATTGAGCCATGTCGAGTTTTGAGCCCTCCAATGCTGCTGACTATTCTTGCTGCCTTTAGTTCACATTCAAACCTGCATATGTTTTAGTAATTATTGCTGTGTAGTTCTCCCTCGGATAGTAATGATGCAATGTGAAGGAAATAAACCAGCAACTTCCATAAAAGGGACCAAAAGGAATCATTCACAACCGAATATTCTATTTATACGTTTTTTTTCTTCATGAATGATTGTCACGCGGTTGACGTTCGTATTTCATTCAAAACAGCTCATAAATTGATTCATTATTCATATGTGTCAAGTTTTGCAAAGTAAAATGCTGCTGATTATCCATGCTGTGTTTTGCTCTCCCTCCGTGTTACTAGTGCTCATGTCTATTTCATGGAACTGCTTGTACATCGTATTTATTTATTGACCCATGAACGGTTTTGTATCCACAAAAAGGTTTTGTGATCCCTTTTCTCAGCGCTTTAAATGGCCTCCGATAGGAAGAAGGTTCCCCACCCTTCACTTTTAGAGCATCAATATCTGCAATGCAAACAGGGCTCTCATATCTGGAGATGCAACAGAATTGTTGTTTATCGTCGTCTGATGCGAGATCTGACAGCCTCAGAGAGGAATGTGTTTGGCTTGGACGGAGGGGGGAAGGCGGGCCTTACAAGCTGTGTCAACATTCTGTCACTGCTTACAAATCTCTCCCTGTGTGCAAATCACCATTTCACTTGTGTCATCCTATACGTTCTGCATCGTATGCACTCACGGACCATAACAGCAGGTATGCTTGCGATATTTAAGAATATCGCAAGCTTGCTTTTATTAGACACTCGTCTTTGTGGATGGATTTCCGAAACAAAAAAAAAATTCTCCGGTGGATGGGCTGTCTTCCCGGCTGTGCGGGGGCCCAGATGGTACTCGCGCATGTTGGCCAGCGTTGTCACTCTGAGCCCGCAGGACGGCCCTTCTGTGGCCGATATGGCCCAGGCCGGTCCTGGCACCTGTGAATGTGACTGTGGCCCAGCAGGGGACAACGCAAGGCTGGCCTGGCAGTGCACAGCTGAGTTGGAGTTTATTCTGCGTCCACTAGAGGGCAGTGTCAGTCTTGACCTTTTTGTGCCTCTTGGAATTGTTGTTTAGGAGGGTCTCAACATCGCCCACAATTTGTTTTTGAGGGATTCCAGACATGAGCCCCTACACCCCCCAATCTCAGCCCGCCACCACAAAAAAATGAACAGGAGTTTCGCCACTTTGGGTATGAAGCAGCCAAATTCCAAGGTTTGCGGTTTGACACGTCCTATTGGGCAATTCGCCCAAATGAGCCCAAATTGAAAGCAGGTGTCCGAAACAGATGGGCAGTGCAAAATTGCCAAACTTTGTTGCTTATGCCATCTAATGTGGGCAGAACACGGCGCCCAACTTTTATGAGTTTGATGATTCTTGAAAAGTTAATAAAAAAAATTGCCCAGACACTAGTGACCTCGATTGAAACAAAATGGTCAATAATAAGAGGACACAGAAGAACGTCAAAAGGATCCATGTTCCAAAATTGAGCTTGAGGTCTGCCATCCCAGGCTCGTACTTTGACAAACTCTTACAAGGGAATTCACCCAAATGAGTCCTAATCAGAAGCAGGTGTCCTATAAAGATGGGCGATGCTAATTTGCCAAACTTTTTTGCCTCCGCTATCTAAAGCAGGCAGAGCATGGTGCAATTTGATGGCGATTTTGAGACGTTCTGACAAGTTAAAAAAATTGCCCCCCAAAACAACGTCAACGTGTCACTCGTGTCGCATGATCAAGTCTTGAGGAGTCATGGCCTAAGTACCAGATGTATCTCTTTATTGATATACTGGATCATTTTTAATTTAATGTAATGCAGAACATTGCACGTTTTACTGCAGTCGGAGCGGACGTTGGCCAGCTTTTCCTTGTAATCCGCCGGATGTTGCGGCGTCACGGTCATACTTGCCCGGATGGATAGACGGCGCCATTTTATAAAATAAAAGCACCAAGCACCATGGATTAGTTGATTTTGAATTCTCTCGCGACTGCTCGATTGCCATGGAATTTTAAACTGTGCTTCGTGAGCGTGTCTCTTCGTAGGTGCCATTTTCGAGATGTTGTTTTGCACAATGCGCGTACCGGCACCGACTGGGGGAGTGCCTTTAGCGGCCTCTTTCACGCGCACCCTTCCCACTTTAACGTCCGCATGCTGTCCTCTGTTACGTCCGCCTTTCCTCTATATAAGCAACGTGTTGGCTCAACATTAGTCTGTCAAGCGGGCCCGTCACTGAAGTCACACAACAGTATTCACAGATTTTGGAACTCCATGCGAACACAAGGCGACTCGCATTATTAGGCGCCCCGTCCATTTTGGAGAAAATGTCAGACTTTTATGTTTGTCTTATGGTCGTGAAAATATGGTATGTCTTTCTTGATTTGGTATGACATCAAGAATAAATAAAAATAATCTCTTGATTGCATAGTGGGGGCGGAGAGGAAGAGAACAAAATCCTTACCAGACTCTGCAGAGTGGGGGCTGTGCGTTTTGGAGAAGGGCGCAGAGCCCCCTTTGCGAGCGTCCTCTTGCTCACTGGAACGCCGCCTCCAGTAGTTGAGCTCCTCCCGGTCCGACTCCTGGCACCGCCGCAGGACACTCACCGACCGCCGCGTCTTTTCCACCATGTCCACGATGGAGTTCAGCACCTGGACGCAACAATGTTCAGTTAGCCTTCATTTAAGTAATATACATTTTGTTAAAATTGACTGATCTATCATTATAGATCATTTGTATTGAATTGAGCCACAGCCATGCTACGACACAGCTATTATATTGATAAACAACTTGGGTGGAAACAGAAGTTTAGAACGTTCAGATTCTCCCATGCCATTAAAAATGAAAAACAATCAATCAATTAACTGATCATTTATCAAGACCTTTTTTTCTATTTAGTTCTTTTTTAAATGTTCTATATAATTTAATTTTTTTTTTGTAGTTCACAACAGAAATAAAATCGATGGAGCAATTTATTCAGGAAATAAATAAATAAATATATATATACATACATACACACACACACACACACATATACACACACTCACTCACAATGAAGTAATTTTAAAATTTCACAAAACATTATCTATCAAACAACCGATCAAAGAAAATACATATTTTTATTTTATTCACATATTTTTATGCATTATTTAATATATGATAGATTTTTTTTTTTTTTTTTACTTCAGAATGGAAGTAAAATCCAGCAGTTGATCAAGGAAAATATGTTTAGTTGGATACCGTAAAGCATTTCTATTTTATTTATGACATATTTTTTAGTATTTTTTTTGTATCCACAACATGAAAAAAAAGTTGACTATCTAGCGGACCCAGCAATATCGATCAAAACAAGTGCTCGGATTGTTTTCCCCAATTAGACCAGTTGCTGCTAGGCAGAGTTTCGGAGGCTGAATCGGATCCACCGAGTACGCCAGTTAAACCATACAGTGTATCGGTGTAGGCCTTGTCAAGCTCACTAGGCAGACAAACACTAAAAACTCTGAAAACAATACTGTCAGGATAATGAAAAATGCTCATGTTCTGTATTAAATATAAAAAATGTGTCAATGCATCTCTTAGCCAACCAGAGGAGACACAAGGGACACTTACGTGGTCTAGATGCCTCCATTCATCAGCCCACTCCCTGTCAGTCAGCCTGTGGTCAACTGGCTCCTCGCGGTAGCCCCCGTTAGTGCCTGATTAAAAACACACACAAGTCAGACCAATAATTAACATTCCTCTTAATGCCGACGACGCCAAAGGCCGGTAATCACTTCATCATCATTCAAATTTGTAACATGACATCAGTGTCCTGTAAACACTTTCTTTTATTTTTTTGCATATTTTTCGCATTTAAATGACATCATCATTGTGGCACTAAGGGAAGAAAAATGAGTGAGATGAAGGATGAGAAAAGGGTGAAATAAAGAGAAGCCCTGTGATGCAAAACAGACTTTCGGCACCCGGAGCCGGAGCACATCTGGAAGTCAGCTGTCAAACACACACACACACACACACACACACACACACACACACACACACACACACACACACATTCGCCAAATGTCTCTGCTGGCACCCTCCCCTTGCGGAGCTCCCTGCGTTCCAGTAGGGAGACACTCAGGCTGAATGCAGTGGCTCTGATATTTAAACACAACCAGCCGCACACAGTTTGCTATCATAAAAAAAAAAAAACAAAAAAAAAAAACACATGCACATGCACACACGTCGCACACACAGACATACACAAGAAAGCCATAGGGAAGCGCCAATCTTCGTATAACGCTGAAACAAACAGCCGACAAGAAGCCACATGCACACTGGGCCTGTTGAGAAGAATGATTCCTATGTAGGCTCGCCTTGGCCTCCTGGTTCTCATCAGCGTTCATCAGTTCAAAGACATGTGTGTGTGTACTAGTGTGTGTGTGTGTGTGTGTGTGTGTCTCCAGTTAAGTGGCGGCAGGCGGGCGGGAGGCTGTGAGACAAGGGACTAAGACCTCATAAACACAGCACCTCCACCAAGAACATATCAAGGTGTGTGTGTGTGTGTGTCGGCTACTGCAGTTTCCAACGAGAACTGACAAGCCCCCTGAAATAGAGGGCAGATATACACCAGAGTCCATCCAGTCGGTCATGGACAGCGCAGCTCTGTTTATAAGCGACACGCAGACGATACACTGAGTCCCAATTCATGGGGGCCCAACTAAGCAAACACAGGAGACCACCCTTAATCAAGTGGGCTCGCCAGTGTGTGTAAAAAAATATATATACAGCATATTATTTTTTTTTAGGGCAGACACAACCAATGTCGGATATTTTTTGGACACAAAAGATCAACATACTAATTGACGAGTTAGTGTGTGGTCTGCTTGGTGATGAAGTGCTGCCTCCAGGAGTGAAAATACAATATCTGCTTTTACTGGCTTTTTGAGGGCACCGTAGTTTACATCCACATTAAAAAAAAAAATTTGGACTCGCATTTCACAGTTGTCCACCTCCTGGTACTGAGTTTTCCGGTATGCCGAGGCACTTACCTCCTTCCTGGTACTGAGTTTTCCGGTATGCCGAGGCACTTTCCTTTGGGATGCGCCTGGCGCACCTGACAATTTGGTGGTCAAAAGTATACTAAACTCCCTGCCAGAACCATGTCTAACTATTGGCGCAGGTAGTGCCAATTTTGGTAAATTTGATCGAGGTGCAAGTAGACATATTCTGAGGTTGTCATCATATTTCAGTCATAAATATGACAACAGCATGCTCAAACCCCATTTTTAAATGCGCCGCGCTAGTTCTACTTGCACTGCTCTGCGAAAATAACAAAACTGAGTCTAGTTCACCCCTGCACAGATTTTGACTGCACCTTGCCCTAGACTTAGCACAGGGCATACACAATGGAGCCTTATGTCTCCTATCATGCACAACGTCATTTTTTGCTGCTTACATGGCGTCAATTAAACAAATGTCCATTTTGAAACACAACAAAATGACACGTATAAAATATATTTAGTGAAAAATGGTTACAAAAATAACCAATTTTTAGTAGTGGCTATTGGAACTGCATGGGTATGGTATGAAAAAGTGCTTAACACCTCAGTATTTGTGCTCCTAGCTACACCGATGTTATCCAAAACTGCCTTCTGGGACCTTGGGAACAAAAGATGGGCCTTCCTCAGACTATTCCTGAAGAGTTGCAAGCATATGGATTTTCAAAATGTCCCCCGATTATTGAATTAATCGATCATTTCCACTAATTTATTGGTACCATTAATTACCTGGCAGCCTGGGTCTGTCTTTGAGCTCTCGTATCTCCAACATGCGTTGGCTGTGCTCGCGGTGCAGGATGTGCGGCGCGGCGATGTCATCCAGGGCGTAGTGCTGCAGGGGCGGCGGCGTCGGGTGCAGTTGGGCGTTGAGAGGCAGCGGGTGCGCGGGGCTGTGGCGGGGAGCCGGGCTGATGGTACAAATGCGCTTGGCAGTTGGCTCCATGGCCACGGACGGTCGCTCGTGGAAGCCGTTCTCCTTGACCCTGGAAGTCGTCGGCGGGATTGGTCATACGGGCTTCCGCCGGATTGCGGGGGGCTCTTAAAAATTCGGTCATTCGAGCTTACCTGCTAGGGCTGGGCCTCTTGACGGCGGCGTCGGAGGGCTCCATGAGGAGCTCGGATGAGTCAGGAGAGGAGGCCATGGTGGTGCTGAGTAGGAGGTGCTCGTGCTGGGATAGGTACTGGGCCGGGGTCTGCTTGGCCGCACGTGCGCAGTGGAGCAGCTCCCTCTGTAGCAGGGGAAGGTTCGCCTGGAGATTTAGAAAGGAGAAAACTTGTTTGAAATGCAGTTGGCACATACAATGCTTCTGACCACGTTTTGCTTCTTATGGTTCTCTCACATCTTCATAGGCACTATATATAGTTCGGGTGTCACGAAAAGCAATTGGAACTGGCAATATATATCGTCCTTAAATCGTATCGCACCCCATGAATCAAGGTATGTATCGAATTGTCTTTTATTGGAGATACATTATACAAAGCATAGTACAGTATTCTATTGATTCGTGTATATTTGTCATTCCACTGCTGCTGGTATATAGATTATTTATTGATATGTGTATAGGGTTTTTTTGGGGTGGGGGCTGGGGGATGGAGACGCTGCTGCCTTTTCTCGCTGCTCGCTGACGATTCTGTGCTGCATTACAAGTGGGGCAAAACATTTCCATTATTGGTAAGCACACCATTTGGCCGCTGAGTCATAGCACAGACATGCACGTTGACACACAATCTTGGAAACATTTGACAACAAACCCTTCCAAAGCCCGTATGAGGGTTTTTTTTTTCTATTCAGAAGTTCTCTGTCTCCATCCTGTCCTCAACAGTCCCCCCCAACCTCCTTTTTTTTTTCTTCGTCATCCTTAATTAGGAGCAGAGGCTGGTGTGCTTGCAATTACACCACTTCCTCTCTCTGGTGAGTAAATAAAACCCAAGAGTTGCTTTTTCTTTTTTCGTTTTGCGAAGCATGATCAAACTATCAGGACTGAGCTCTCCTCAAGCAATGCATTCACTTTTTCAAAAGTATTTGGACACACGGCACGCATCGCAGTAGTGTGCCATGAGGGTTCGTCAAGTTCGCGCTGGGAAAATATCCACCGCTTCATTGTTCGATAAATTATTTATTTTATTTATTGGAAATAATAATGTATTGATGTGATGTCCTGTGACAGGCCAGACAGTTATAGTGCATGCTTTTTCACTGGATGGTAGAAGGTACACTTAACTTGTGTACAATTAACTTTTGCATATTCATGGTTCACTATTCACAAAATCAAAAACTCATCTATTTTCATTTTTTTGTGCTGAAACGACACGAGATGCCACATGACATGGGCAAAAACATCTCTAAAAGGAAAGTAGTACAACTGTGTCAAGGAACTACAGTATGTTGACGTGATATCAACTGAGAAACAAGCTTTGTGTGTTGGGGAGGAGCTACGTTTAGCCTGGGTTGTTAGTAGAGAGTGTGCATGTGCCTTAACATGCACTCTTCCAGTGTCTTTTTTTAAAAAAAAAATCACATTTTCTCAAAGCCTGATCCTGAATCAGGGTAATGTTTTAAGACAAGTTTCATGATTTTAAGATGCTTGGTAATGATATTTCGTGGTATTTTTACACACATATATAACAAGGAAGGGAGCGTATATTCCTCACTTTTTTTTTCTCTACTTTCAGATTGTTGCCAGATTATTCAGAGACCAAGAAAGACTATTCTTAGACATGCTTTGTGATGATATTTTGTGGTATTTTTATGGTTTGAACAATAAACTAGACAAACATATAACAAAGAAGGGGGGCGTATATTACTCACTTTTTTTTTTCTCAACTTTCAGATTGTTGCCAGATTATTCAGAGACCAAAAAAGACCATTCTAAGACACATTCATTTTTCACTTTTTGGTGTAATCTTAAACCAAGTTATTAAAATAAAATGTAACTTTATAATCTACATTTGTTTCACTTTTTTCTTAACATATTAATTTGCATAAATATTTCATAATTCGTTTTTAAAATATGTTAATGTTTTTTTTTCTTTGTCTATGACTAGTTCCGGGATATCTGACTGTGTCCCCGCTTTTTTTGGATGTAAAATGTAAAATATGTTCCTTGGTGCAATAAACGTTAGGGAACACTGCATTAAAGAAAGTAAGAACAGGGGAAGAGTGATGCTTTTTTTCCCCCATGTACAATGGCAAAACATGAGTCGACCCCAAAGTTGGACTGTAAAGGTCTTGCTTGCTTTGTAGACTGGGAACAGAAAAAGGGGTCTTCCCCATACTGTTTCCACAAAGTTGAAAGCCCCGAAAAAAAGTGGGTGGTCTGGCTCTAACCCCCAGGCCCTAAACCAATGGACATTTGAGAAGAGATGCTCTCGTTTTTTTTCTTTCTTTCTTTTTTTTTTTTTTTTTGGGCGGGGCAGATGCAAGATCGGCGGCGCCTCAGCAGCTGAGCGCTCTTCACATACATACCCCTTTTCCACAAAAAAAAAAAAAAAAAATAGCCAGAGCTATGCTTAGTTGGTTCTTAACAAAGAACGTGTTTGGTTATCCACTAGCAAAGAGCCAAGTAGGAGATACGTCATGACATCATCGTAGAGCGTCCAAACATCACACTACGTCGTTCTTTACCCAAGAGTGACTGCGCTATTAATACTATTACTACTACTCATAAAATTAAAACAAAATAATAATGCGCTGTTAGCATCTACATGGCAACTTAGCATCGCATCGATTATACTTGTATGTGGTACAGAGCAGTCAGGGACATGCAATCAGCAAACGCTTATCCATCCATCCATTTTCTGATCCGCTGATCCTCAAGGGTCACGAGGTGCGCTGGAGCCTATCCCAGCCGTCTTCGGGCAGTAGGCGGGGTTCACTCTGAACTGCTTGCCAGCCAATCACAGGGCACATATGTAAATGAACAACGATTCACACCGAAAAGTTAGCAAACGCTGATATCTTTCCTAATTATTGGTAGATGATCACAAGGTTGGCTACGAGTCGGAGATGGAATGCTATTTGGGCACATCCGCGATCGCTATTCTGGTGGGACACAATTGTGCCAGAGTTCTCTGCTCAACAGTTTGTGCAAAACTTCCGTGTGTCAAGGGAGTCAGTCCTCTAAATCTGTGATTGTCATGATATCCCGCCCCCTGCCGTAGTTGGTGCTCGAGTCTAAATAATTAAGGCCAGCTTAAGCAACAGTTTCAAGCACCAGTGCTAGAGCTAGAGTCAACTTCTTTGGTGGAAAAAGAAAAAATTGGTGCAAAACTGGGCACTCATCTGGAATTAGTACTAGTACTAGCGCGGTGGAAAAGGCCCATCAAGACAGTGGCATTCAACCCATAAATGTTTTTTTGTTTTAAATTAGAGGGGGTGAAAGGCAAGACTTTATAGGCATGTTTCACACATCCGACTTTCTATTTCCCTCCCCTTCCTGTCCTATTTGCCCACCAAAAACCTTCTCTTCCTCCTACTAGAATGAAGTTGTGAGCCCGCCCCCTTCTGTCATAAATTAGCAAAATCAACAGAGCTTTCTCCTCTCAGGACAGACAGATGGAGGTGAGTGAGAGGTAAACGCATATTGAAAAGAGCCGCTGCAGGAAGATTTACGGGCTGCCTTAGGGACAGAGAGGGAAGCTCCTAAAAAGTAAAGTATACACTTGAAGAAATGTCTCCCCGTTACAAAAAGAGGGGGTTCTCGGGGGAGCCGTTAAACACACGTCATCTGTTGCGCATCAGGTCAGCACGCAATTCATGAGAGTTAAACCATTTTGAGGAAGCGTTTGCTCAGTTCAACGTGTCACGGGGTCGAGTGCATTCACCTCGCTGCTGCAATGAATTGAAAAGGAAGCAGACAAGAAGAATGGTGGACACTTCATTAGGTACGACTAACACACACACACACACACACACACACACACACACACACACACACACACACACACACACACACAATCACATATCCGGACAATATAGAGTGTTCCACTAACCAACCGTGCATGTTTTTGTAATGTGGGAGGAAACCGGAGTACCCCAAGAAAACCCACGCAGGCACGGGGAGAACATGCAAACTCCACACAGGGAGGCCGGAGCGGGATATGAACCCATGACCTCTGCACTGTGAGGCGGATTCGCTAACCAGTCAACGACCATGCTGCCCTATCATATATTATTATTTTGTTTTTCAATATTTTATATTGATATACGTTTTCAAACATGTTCTGTATTATAGTTTATTATGTTAAGTAATTAGAAATTCTCCTGCTACTACAATGACAAATAATAATGAGAATTATTATTATTATGAATTTATTGATTATTTGATCTTTCACATTGGACTCTTCCATAGTGTAACCAATATGAATAAAAAGATTTTGTTTTACTTTTGTTACTATATTAGATTTGCAGTACTATCGTATGTGATGATACTAATAATAACAATAACAATGACAATAACAATAATTTCACATAATAAACACATATATTTAATAAAAAATGTTCATATTATCTTTCCATTTTTAATTGTGTAATTAACTAGGGTTCCCCAAATCTGTCAGTGTGCAGTATATATATAAAAAAAAAGAAAATGATTCATCTTAATATTTTAAATAATGTATTATAAATACTGTATCTAAATAGGTTATCCAAAGTGTTATCTGACTATAGCTAAATGCATATAATAATAATAATAAAAAAACTACTACTTTGACTGCCCATCATCTCATCACCTTCATAATAATAGTGTGTTGTTGTTTTATTGAATATTTCCTTCATTTCAATTCCATTTCATTTCTGTCTGACATGTTTAAATGAGTGTCCTGATCCTGCTAAACAGAATAACTCCAAAACATGCCACCAGACTGTGCAGGTGTTCCTAATGTTGTGGCCTGTAAGCCCCAGAGAAGGTCGAGGTGAACTCTGAGCGCCCGTCATGTGTTTTCGAATGAAACCAAAGCATCAAAATAGTCTCGTTAAAAATAAGAGGGAAGTAGACCAAGCAAAAACAAACACATATTTTGCGGGCGAGAAGGTCGAAACGTGAATGTTTACCTTGAGAAAAGGAATAACAAACGGCCTCAAGGGGAAGTTGGTGGCCTCCTGAAGCCGTGAGTGAAACTCCTCAATGGTCACGGTTGAATTCTACAATCACAAAAAATTGTCAATATACATTGGAAGGAGATGGCGATGTCCCCAAACCTTAAAAAAAAATTTTTGGGGGATGACGCGTACCACCAGAGCCAGCACTAAGCTGCGCACGTTGTCGCCGATCTCCGGCGAGATGTCGTTGCCGAACTGCTGCAACGTGGTCAGGAAGCGCTTGAGTTTGCTCAGTTGCCGCGCTCCGCATGTGGCCGGCAACTGCTGGTTGGCCAGCGACGATGACGACGATGACGAAGGCCCGTTGCTGTAGCGTTGCGGCGGCGACGGCACCGCGTTGAGTGTCGGTGGCGAATGGTGGTTGCCGTTGGTCACTGTGGAGACAACGGCAGGAAAGGCGACTGTAAGAGAAGCAAAGGATTCTGGGAAGACTGAAGCCAGTCTGTTGGAAAATGATTATTTATGTACTATAAATGGCATATTTTTGTCAGTGACTTATAATGACAGGCATAACACCGAAATACTTTTCCACAAGGTGGCAGAAGGTCCAGTTAATTACTGTCATTCATACATAAGAGTAACATGGGCAAAAATGTCAGGAAACACTGGACTTGTTCGAGTGGCTCTTAACGTCTGGGACTCACTGTCCACGTAACTTTTTGTGATGCTGTCACACGCCTGAATATGTGAAGCCGTGTGTAAACGAGATCCGCCAGAAAGGGGCAGGCGAAAAAACGCCCGCTCTACTTTTATGCCTCTGATACGGCAGGAAAGCAGTGAACAACTTCTGAGACTCACTGGGCATGCCACTTTGTGTGATGCCAGCACGCAACTAATTATCTGAGTGTGGAAAGCGACAGCGGCTGAGTAAACATGCATTTTGTACAAGGGAATGTCCTGATCCTGCGACTTCTGTAGCCAACTGTTTGTAAAGGCCCAGCTCATTTGCGGTTTAATCCGAGCTCTCCCTATTGCGTTGAATGCAACTGTCACAGAGGATGGCGCTGACCTCCTCCAATTACTTGCTTGTGTGTTGTTCGGGTGAAATCGCTTGGTTCGGAAAAAGACATGACAGAAATGTGCTTCCATTTTGCTGGCTTTCCCTGTGAAAGTCAAAGACGTACATGCTGTAGTGGAGAAGGAGGCCAGGCGGGGGCCACTTGGGTTGATGGAGGGCAGAGGGGGCATGATGATGGCGGCGCCGCTGCTGCTGCTGCTGCTACTGCTACTGGGAGCTGATCTGGAATGAGTCTTAGCATCCACAGGAGAACCGGGCATGGCAGGGCTCTTCTTCGCTCCACTGTCTGCAAGAGATGAGGCCAAACTTAAATGGAGCTAGGGTCAGATTCCTACACAAGGTTGGTACACTTGGATATTTGAGCTATTTGAGCTTTAACTGATTTGCTCCATAAAAAGAGAAAAAAATGTGACCTCTCCTGAAGCATCATCTGAGACAGGTAATGCACTATTTTGCACTAATCGGAAGTATTGGAGTTAATAATGCAGTATGATTTTTTTTTTCTCATTTCTGACACCCAAAAAACCCCAAAAAACCAAAAAAATAAAACGTACTGAGAAAAGTTAACTTGCATCTTTGATCCAATAATTTGATTGAATTATGCTGAATTGATTCAATCAAAATGGAACCAAGGTCCATTATCACTGTCTCTCAGAAACGAATGGAACAGTTGCGCTGAAATTGGAAATGAGCGATAGACAATGTACTGTATATTCACATCTGTTTTTGTTTCTGATACTTTCTAGTCACTTAACGCCCCAATTCAAATTGGAACATCATTGGCATACCTGCAAAATGCCTGGAAAAGGAGGGTTAAAAGACCACCAAAAGTTTCACTTGTCATATGCCGGGGCATCGAACCCCCTCCCACTCCACCCCCTCTTTCCCTCCATCAAAGGGCCAGATGTCTAAAGTTTAGCCCCTCACTCTCGACCATTCAGATCACAAACAGAAGAAAATGTTAAAGAATGCTATTGTGCGGCTCGAAGAATGCCCCTTCATTGAGAGTTGCGGCCAAGAAGGGGGTAGTGGAGGGGGCTGCGAGAAAGAAAAGAGAGAAATGGGGCCGGGACTATTTCACGCTTTACTAACAAGATCGTCAAAGCTTTTGAATGTTAATAGCAACTTTTCAATATGCCATCGCCGCTGAATGAGACCACCAGATAAGGGGGCATGGGCCTTGTTTGGGTACCGGGGGTGTCATTTATGTGGCATAAGGAGATGCCTTTGTTTCCTGCAGCGCCATGGAGGAGGCGCAACAACACCCCTCCCTCCCTTTTGACCCCCCCGCCCCCCGCCTCAACCACCGGCATCTCCATTTAGGAGTGGATCAGACTTTTTTAAGTGCTCCAAGAAAGGACGATTAATAGACACGCAAGGCCCGGCGGGGGTCGAAGTTCAACCTTGGAGAAGGCCTTTTAAATACGGTTTCATGCTCTTTCCGAGTGGCCTCGCCTTCAATGGCGCCCTTTATGTCTCTTTCACGGCCGATGAACTCTACGCGGCCTTGTGCAACAGGTTCCCAAGTTTATAAAGATGGAGGCCTTAAGATGTGAGCGGGCCACGCATAACAATGGAGACAGAGTTGGCTCTCACGAGGGGATGAGGATCTGAACCTCCGAAAGCTGCAACACAAATATTTTCCCATTCGTGATCGTAGAGAAAATCGTCAACATATTAACACAGGATCAATCAGCCCTGAAACAATAGATTTGATATTATGGATATCGACATGATATTGAAATGTAATACTTGCCATGTTGTGATATTATTTGGGCACCAATGAATAATAAGGAAAATATATCTATTTCCTACATAAGGAATACTGTATATAGAATGTGGAATAAAATTAATGTACATTTAAAACAGAGCGTCAGATACCTTCTAATGATCAACGTTCGCTTCGCAAAGTACGGAATGACTGCAGCTCAACTCTATGCCTTTCAAATCGTGTTGACTAGAATGAAATAATTTATTGATGTACAATATAGCTTGCCTGGTCATCGTATAATAAAAAAAAAAAAAAAAGAGGTTTTAAAAATGTTAACTATGTATTTTCGGTTCAATCTACTAAAGTCATTCTGTTCAAAGTATCCAGGACATTATTGTAGTAGATGGTCGGCGGCAACTTTTGGGTTTTTTATTTATTTTTTTATTCCTGCCAATGTATTGCACATTCTGGACAGCGTGAGACTCAATGAAACAGATTGTGTTGCATTGACATTCTGCCATTTTATTGGCAACAGCTGTTTTTGAAGCGGATGCATTTGAGGGGTATAAAGAGCTCTGTGTTGTCATGTCAAGAAGAGGAAGCGGTTGCGATGGCGATTTTTCACCACTCAAAATACATTCAGGTGAAAATGATAGCACAAATCTCAGTCAAGTTGTTTTTCTCTATCTCTGGAGTATATCTGTTAAGACTGTAAGCAGTGAAATATGCTAATTAATTGTAAAGGTATGAAAATATATTCTCGAAGCGGATCAGTGTTTGATCATCTGGTTGGACCATACTTTCTGAGAACCACTCATATCTATCTATCTATCTATCTATCCATCCATCAGTGTGTGTGGGCATAATGGTGAAGGGATTGCGTCATTCTGAAGAAGTCGTCCTATTGGGCCTTTTTGGCCTGTGGGACTCCGTAGGCAGCTGATTGTTAGCGGATGGCTAAGCAGAATGCAGTCTTGCTGTCCATCGAGGCAAAAACTCGGGTGTGGTAGGAGTTCGACGAGGCCATAGAGAATAACGGACGGCTTGGAAGAAATTCTGGTCCACCATCCGTCGTCTCCGTCGAAAGAACCATTAACACTATGTTTAGTGGGGATTTGTGCACTGTTGACCTCCACCGATTATGTCTTCCGGCTGGCCTGGGAACGCCTTGGGATCCCCCGGGAAGAGCTGGAAGAAGTCTGGGCTTCCCCGCTAAAGCTGCCGCCCCCAAACCCGGATAAGCGGAAGACAATGGATCGACTGATGGATTGTAAATTTGATTTGTTTGTATATCCTAATCACATCAGTTCTCTCGTAAAATCTGTATTATAATTAGTTTGACACTTTTTTTACAATATATATCAAGTATTTAAATATGATGGCACAATAATAACAAATAAAAGTATTACTCAACTCTTTTGTGCAAATTATACAGTATCCGTCACAAGATAGGGCATACGTTGTCAATCAATAGCACGGGGCAGCGTATCACGAGCATTGCAATACAAATTATGCGGGACATTCAAAACATCCATTGAATATGATATGATATGATATGATTACACAAAAATATGGATGCGCAAGCTTGTGGCATCCACATTTCTGCCCCTTTCCCTTCCCTCCTCCCTCTCTTGCTGCCCATCTGTCGTGCGCATGCAACATCTTTGACTGTTCAGCCCGCTTCGTCTACGACGACACACTGTGGCTTGGCTGCCATCGCTCCACCTGTTCACCAACAAGGGGTGCAGGAAGAACGAACACACACACTCACACACACAAACACACGAATATATATGCAGTGCCAGTGCACAGCAGGATGCAGCCTGCAGCACACACACACAGACACACTTGCGTATGGTCAGGAAATTAGACTGACATCTCAATAACACAATCAACGAAGCATACAGCCTTCATGTCAACACTGAGATCACACAACACGTCTCAAAGCAGTTTACACGCACACCAATAATCACAAACCAAATTTGAGCATTTCCTGATGCAGGTCATCGAAGGTCCAATGATCGGATGTCGCTAAAATATGATCCTGTGAGCGATTTACCTCAAGCGCGGCTTGTGTTGAGTAATTTTGTCAACCACAATCTGCTCTGTACACGCGAGCGGCCGACAATCGTTAATGTGAAAGCTGGTCAATATTCACAATGGCATATCGTCATGTGGTCAACACCGAGTTGGGCGGAGCCAAAGAATGTGACGTGAACGAGAACGCTAACCAATCAGGAAGCCTGCTTCCCAAAAACAAAAAGCAACTGCGTGTGTTGAATGTTTCTGTAGCGTCTGGCACAATTTCTTTCATCACGATAGAATAGAAGTGGCGAGAAGTTAAGTTCGTCTTGCACAAGGGGTGGACAAAACAGCATTTGTAAATGACTGCAAAATGTACCGTATTTATTTTTATGATATTCTATTCATGCATCTCTAATTCCTCAGCTGAATAATTGTAATTAACAATTTTTTTTAAATAGTAAAAGTAAAAATTACATGCATTTACCGATAACAATTTATTTTGTTTGGTCGATCAATAATCTGGTATTTTTAAAAATGAGAATGAGCAACTAGCGATTGTTTCAATAATTGATTAATCTGTCAATTTGGTCAATTAATCGGTGAATCAGGAAAAGAAGTTTAAATTTCCACCTTTGTATTCAAAAACAGGACGTAAATTTCAAATTGACCTTGCGGAAAACGCACAAGCAAAAATTCTGAACGATTTCAGGATAAGGCAAAAATGTTGATCATTGTTAAACAGGGTAAAAGCAAATGATTTATTTTGACTCTATACCTCGATAATCAGGACATTTTCATGGAGGACTACAGAAATTGGAGAATATTTACTTACAGGCCTGAAATTCCAAGCTTTTGGACAATTTTAGATTACAAAAAGTTATCCAAACTTTATTGCTTATCAAAAATAATCAATGATGAATTTAATAATTAATTGGTTGTCAATTAATAGTTGCATCTTTAGTTTCATTGTTAAAATAACCTAGTTTACGTTTTTGACGTACACAATTCATTGTAAATGGTAATATCACATTATTAGTAAAATGAGCAATTTTATATATACATTTAACATTTGTTGATTTGATCAAATAGTTGCTGATTGATTGTCATTGAATTATGAATAAAAGGAATTAAAAGTGAATTGTTTTTTCAGTAAAACATTTATCAATCATACCATTCATTACATTTACCCATAATAGAAATAAGATGTGGCTCTTGGTTGATCAACTGTTCATACATTAATAATAAACAATAGAATCTAAAAATGTGAATCATTTTATAAATAAATACCATTTCATTTACAAGATGTAAAATTAAAAATAAATATTGTAAACTGAAGAGTTTTATACTGTATTTACATTTATCCACTGGGTATTTATTTGGAGAATATAAATATAAGACTCAACTCTTTTTGGTATTAAAATAAACATATTTTCACTGCATTGTCCATTTTAAAGCTCAAATGTGGCCCTTGAGTACAAAAGTGTCCTCAACCCTGGCCTCACTGCTTCTAATTCTTCTTCTACTTCTGCTACAGCAGTGTGGATGCCCTG